AGATGTAACAAGACAACAGGACACAGAACCTAGCCAGAGAACATGGCAAAAGATCCTGGACAGAACCTGGCTACAGAACTTGGCTGGAGAACCTAGACAGAACATGGCAGGGGAACCTGGATAGAACCTGGTGACCGAACCTGGACAGAACCTGGCGATCGAACCTGGCTGGAGAACCTAGTGAGAGAACATGGCTACAGAACCTGGCTGGAGAACCTAGACAGAACTTGGCTGGAGATCCTACTCAGAACCTGGCTGGAGATCCTGGCTAGAGGAACCTAGCTATGATGATCACCTGAACACTGCCTCCATGTCATTCCTTCTTCACTGACTCCGTCCACACCTTTGGGGACCCCTGGACCTGCTGGAGTTGGACCCCAACAATTTTATATATTTAAATGCCATTTAACAAAGAAAAATCAGCCAAAAAAATGAGTTCACGTGTCACCTCTGACACGCATGTCATAGGTTCACCATCACTGCCTTAGACTATTGAATTGGTGTACACAATCCAACCTGTCTATTTTACAGATAGAAAAACTGAGGCTAAGAGGGGGAGTCACTTGTCCAGGGGCATACAGCTTAGATGGGGCAGAGCCAAGATTCATACACAGGGTATTGGACCACTTCCTCTTCTGGAAAAAAAAGTAGATGCCAAAGAAATCAGAGATTCATTTGGATCCTGAGCCTGCCTAGGGAGGAGTGGGCACAGGTCTGCCAGCTTTCCTCTCATTTATAAGCTGTTGGCATCCAAGCCTCTGTCTTGCCCTTTGTGGCTTTGGGCACCTTTGAGTCCTGCAGAACGGAGGTATCCCTTCCTCTAACCTGTCCAGACCCAGGTTGTGCAAGCATGGTGAGTCAGGCCCCTGTTGGTAAACCCACGTGGGTTCTCTTCATTGCCAACATTGACGGTTACTATAGCTTTGTTTTCATTTTCTAAAGTTCTGATTTCAAAACGAAACCAAACCTAGATGCCAAAAAGGAAAAAGAAATACGCTGGTTGACAAACGTCTGCCTCCTGGGTCATTCTTTCTGGAGGCCTGGTGCTGGGCTCACAGGAAGTTAGGTCGCCTGGGAGCCTTGAGGAGCTCAGAATCTACAGCAAGCCTGGGCTGCATGTGGACTCCAGGCCTACTGCTCCCCAGATGGGGGATCCCCAGAGGGCATGCAACTGCCCTCTCTAGACCTCATTTGACCCATCTGCAAAGTGGGCTCTGGAACTTTAGGCCTCATAGAGCACCAGTGCATGGAAAGCCTGAAGCAAATGCCAAGCACAGAGAACATGCTCAGCACAAGTGACTTCTTATAACAGGGCCAGCCGTGTCCACAACTTGCTGGGCCACAGCCAGACATGTGGGATGGTTCTCCTCCCCCACTTGGCCGGCCCCGGAAACCCAGGAATAAGGGACCCGGCCCTTGGAGCTCAGTTTTGCAGTTTTTCTTTCCAGCGTTGACAAAGTCCTGCTGGGAAAAGCAGTCCCTGGTTAGGATGTGTCATCCTGAAAGTGCTCTCTGCCCCAGTGCTCCCCAGCCCTCCTTCTCTTCTGATACGTGGGGCAGACAAGGTTCCGTGCCTCTGAGGAGCCCTGAACTGTGGGGTTTAGAGCATGGATTCTGTTATCAGCTGGCCTGGGTTTAAATCTGTCACTTAGCCCTAGCTGGTTTGGC